CATTGTGTTTGTTTAGTATTAAATTATTGTAAACGTATTTAAAATATATTTAGTTGGGTTAGGCTAAAATAAATTGTTCTTGTTATAATAAGCTTAGGTAAGTTTTCTAAGATTCTTTTGGTGCAAAAATTAAAATTTTTTACATTAACATTAATGAAAAATGTATATCTTTAAACTTATAAGAGAAAATTTCAAAAAGGACTTAATTTTAAGTGAGTTCTTGCTAATTGACCAGTTTTACATATTCGGCACGACATATATATATATATATATATATATTATATATATATATATATATATATATATATATATATATAATATATATATATATATATATATATATATATATATATATATATATGCAATAAGATCACAGTAAACAGGTGATTTCAGAATATGCAAAGCAACCAATGTGAAAGAATAGAGAAATTCCAAGCGCTTTCGTGACTACTCACATTATCAAGGAACTATGAAAGTAAAGCATCCAAGGAAGGTATATAAGGGGTCTGGCCAACACCTCACTATCAGATCCCACAACAGTTAAACACCTGACGCACGCCGGCCCAACTGGACAGGTCCTTCGCACAACCCACAAACAAACTATTCTACCCAAGAAAATTTAAAAAATTATTATTTGTCCAGTGTATTATTAAATTCTTCCCAAATTCTATTAATTATAAAAGGATCTAATTTATATAAACCAAAGGAAATATTCATATTATTGTCAAAACTGCTTTTTATGAAACAAGATTCAATTATATTCCTGTCGACCATGGACTTGCTTGATACTACTTTCTCAACTTTTTGAAAATCAATTGGATGGTTAAAATCTCTTACATGAATAAATAGAGCATTGGAATCTTGTCCAGTTCTAATGCTATATTTATGTTGTTTTAATCTTAGTTCGAGATTTTTACCAGTTTGACCGTAATAAACTTTATCGCAAATTTTACAAGGAATCTTATAGACACATCCATCAGCATTTTGGGGGGAATTCTTTATCAAAAGTTTTTTTACTGTATCAAGATTTTTGAATACAGCTTTAATATTAAAAGTCTTAAGAAGAGAAGGCATATCAACCAAGTTTTCATGGTAAGGGAGAACCAACATAATTTTAGTTGAATAAGGCTGGTTGTCCCTTTTTGGATTGTAAAAAGTATTTCTAGCAACTTTAAAAGATTTATCAATTGCATTTCTTGGGTATTTTAAATCATTACCTATTTCATAAATTTTGGATATTTCCTCATCTATGAACTCAGAACTACAAATTCGTAAAGCTCTCAAAAACATTTATGAGAAAACAGACAGTTTGACTCTATCTTGATGCGAAGAATAATAGTGGACATAGGAACAGGTATTTGTAGGTTTTCTGTAAATTTTAAATTTGAATTCATTATTACCCTTAATAATTAAAACATCTAGAAAAGGCAATGAGTTATTTTCTTCAAACTCAACAGTAAAGTTTATAGAATAAGCTAAGCTATTTAATTTTCCAAGGAAATGGTGTATATGTACATTTTTGGGCATAAGACACAAAATATCATCAACATATCTGAACCATTTAGCTCTATTAGGGAGGATTGTGTTAAGCAATCTTGTTTCAAAAAATTCCATGTATAGGTTACTAAGAACAGGTGAAAGAGGATTTCCATTGCCATACCAAACTTCTGAGTGTAAAACTTATCATTAAATACAAATTTTGCATCAACAATGCAAAGTTTAATAAGTTTAATGATAGTAGGAACTGGCAATGGTAAATCATAGTTAACGAGTTCTTCAGATAAGAAACTTAATAAATCGTCAACAGGAACTTTCGTAAACAAGGAAGTAACATCAAAACTAACCATGTTAAAATCATTTAAGTCAGTCAAGGAGCTTAATTTATCAACTAAGTCTATGTTGTTTTTAACATTAAAGTTGGAAATTTTGCCAACAATAGGGCTCAAAATATCAACAAGCCATTTGGATAATTTATATGAAACTGACCCTATTAAAGCTAAATGGTTCAGATATGTTGATGATATTTTGTGTCTTATGGCCAAAAATGTAGCTATACACCATTTCCTTGGAAAATTAAATAGCTTAGCCCATTCTATAAACTTTAGTGTTGAGTTTGAAGAAAATAACTCATTGCCTTTTCTAGATGTTTAAATTATTAAGGGTAATAATGAATTCAAATTTAAAATTTACAGAAAACCTACAAATACCTGTTCCTATGTCCACTATTATTCTTCGCATCAAGATAGAGTCAAACTGTCTGTTTTCTCATCAATGTTTTTGAGAGCTTTACGAATTTGTAGTTCTGAGTTCATAGATGAGGAAATATCCAAAATTTATGAAATAGGTAATGATTTAAAATACACAAGAAATGTAATTGATAAATCTTTTAAAGTTGCTAGAAATACTTTTTACAATCCAAAAAGGGACAACCAGCCTTATTCAACTAAAAATATGTTGGTTCTCCCTTACCATGAAAACTTGGTTGATATGCCTTCTCTTCTTAAGACTTTTAATATTAAAGTTCTATTCAAAAATCTTGATACAGTTAAAAAACTTTTGATAAAGAATTCCCCCCAAAATGCTGATGGATGTGTCTATAAGATTCCTTGTAAAATTTGCGATAAAGTTTATTACAGTCAAACTGGTAAAAATCTCGAACTAAGATTAAAACAACATAAATATAGCATTAGAACTGGACAAGATTCCAATGCTCTGTTTATTCATGTAAGAGATTTTAACCATCCAATTGATTTTCAAAAAGTTGAGAAAGTAGTATCAAGCAAGTCCATGGTCGACAGGAATATAATTGAATCTTGTTTCATAAAAAGCAGTTTTGACAATAATATGAATATTTCCTTTGGTTTATATAAATTAGATCCATTTATAATTAATAGAATTTGGGAAGAATTTAATAATACACTGGACAAATAATAATTTTTAAAATTTTCTTGGGTAGAATAGTTTGTTGGTGGGTTGTGCGAAAGACCTGTCCAGTTGGGCCGGCGCGCGTCAGGTGTTTAACCGTTGTGGGATCTGATAGTGAGGTGTTGGCCAGACCTTTATATACCTTCCTTGGATGCTTTACTTTCATAGTTCCTTGATAATGTGAGTGGTCACGAAAGCGCTTGGAATTTCTCTATTCTTTCACAGTGGTTGTTTTGCACACACACACACACACACACATATATATATATTATATTATATATATATATATTATATATATATATATATATATATATATATATATTATATTATATATATATAATATATATATATATATATATTATATATATATAATAATATACATATGTGTGTGTGAGTGCCTAAATAACAAACTTTTTGCCTAAATTAAGACTTATTTTCTTATGAAACCTAATTTGTTTAATCTCAGTGCTAGAATAACTGTCTCCACCAAGGTTAATAAATTAGACACATGTGCAACACTTGGGTGTCTTTATTTAGGAAACGTTTCGCCACACAGTGGCTTCATCAGTCCATACAGGGAATTCTTCATTTGCCTTACCTTTAGGCATGACCTACTCCCACATTTGGATTTGTCAAATGTGATACCACATACGACTGCTTCGCCTCACTTGCCTACAGTATATAAGCAACTTCGTGCATGTGCTGTATTCTTTTCAAGATTGATGGAGTGATTGCATTGACTCCAGGCTGAGGGACTGATTACCTCAAACACTTTCTGTTCATCATCATTCTCTTTGTATGGACTGATGAAGCCACTGTGTGGCGAAACGTTTCTTCAGTAAAGATACCCAAGTGTTGTACATGTGTCTAATTTATCAACTTGTCGGTTCTCTGAACCATTTATCTACATTCCACCAAGGTTGCCTGCATCGTAGATGACACCAGTGAACCGCTCTCTGCCCAGCATCTACCATGGAGCGAGTTTGAGGAGACTGTAGTCGGGGAAACCGAGGAAATGTCAAGACCTTTTGGTAACAAGGATTTAGATGGGAACACAACAGGAAAGTCAGCAAATGGATACAACTCAGTCCCAAACAGTGTCAAGCCAGGTGTTGGGAATGACCAGATAAGACGACTGTTGATGACCAGGACGATGTGTGTGGGCGGGGGTCACCGTGGCATCCTTGAAGCAGAGGTGGCACAAGCAGCACTCTGGCGGAGGACACTGGGAGTTGATATGCTGCTCAAAGCCTCGGGTTGTCGAGGGCATGAAGTTGTCGTAACCCCATACTTATTGCTAGGTCCGCAGTGGATGGTTGAAGGAAATGCATCACTTGGTTCATTCAGTCTGGACGAGGTGTGTCACGTGGTTCAGTGGGCAGTTATAGTGCAGCCCGCCAGGTCATATTCTAATCACATGATGGTGTGCCGTTACCTGGGGGGTACACTCATGGCGAGTGACGACCTGACCTCACACGTCATGACCTTAGCTCGTGGTACCAATGACTCCTGTGTTGGCCCGAGAGGGCTACTGACCTGGTTATTGGGAGGAAAAATGGGTAAAGGAGCGACAGTAAGGGTCACTGCGGAAGATGAATGTCCTGCCCAGAGCACTGATGGGGGCACGTTTGTCGCGTGTGTGCGACAACTGGAGTGTTCCCTGTGTCAGGTGCCCTCCACGGCCATGTACAACCTGTATGGTCATGATGGAAGAATCTTCGATTACAATTTCTACATCTACGCGGCAAGTGGCGAGTTGGCCTTCAAGGGTACTGGAGGCTCAGAGATAGTTCGTGTGGGCGGTGGATGGGTGTTGAAATCAACACTGCACCAGATGGAGTGGGTGTTGGCAGAGGCTGCAGTCCCAGTGGGTCGCCAGAAATGGGTTGTGGGGGATGACAAGATGGTTCTGGCCTTCACCACATGCCGCACTTCCCAGTTTACTTGTGACAATGGCCAGTGCGTCCCTCAGATCTCTCGCTGCGACGATATTGCACACTGTCTCGACAGGTCGGATGAGGCCAATTGCCATGTGGTAGAGAGGTCATCTGGGTATGACCCATACTACCCTCCTCCACCACGACCAGGCGAGGAAATCCCGATGGATCTTTTCTATCGTGTTGATCTGTACAGTATGGACGACATGACCACAGAGAGCGGCTTGGCAACAATGAACGTGGGAATGACACTCAGTTGGTTCGACTCTCGACTAAAATTTGTGAACCTGAAGCCCAAAGTGAAGAACTATTTCCCGTGTGAGCTGGTGTGGACGCCCAGTGTTCGAGCTGTCTCGGGTCACGGGGAAGGAACCGTTCTGGAAACAACCAACTACGAAAAGTTTTGCTACGCTTACGCTGACGAGACTACTAAGAGACCTCTAGATGATCCCTACATGAGTGAGTTGACACAGTCTGTCGACATCAGATTGTGTTGAATGTTAGCACTCACGCACGCATGGACGCACGCACACAGACGCACATGCAGACACGTGCACACACACCCACCCTCTACCCCACCTCACACCACCTCTCCACTCTGTCTCCCTCCCTCCCTCTCCCCATCTGTCCCCCCTTTACAACTCCCCCACCCCCACACACATACACACACTTGCACACGCACACACACACATACACATGCATGCACACAAACGTGTGCACACACGTGCACACACACAGAGGCCAGGTGAAGAGGCAGGGCCAGGAGCTGTGAATCGACTCCTGTAACCACAACTAGGTGAGTACACACACACAGCACACACATGCACTACAACACCTAACCTATGTGAGTGACTCTCCCTCTCCCACTACCCCATTCCCACTCTCCACCTCTCCATCACTCTGTCCCCCTCCCTCTCCCCATTACAGCTCCCCCACCCCTACACACACACACACACACACACACACACACACACACACACACACACACACACACACACACATACACACAAACAGCACACACTACAATACCTTACCCATAAAAAATGGGTTTTCAGAGGGGAAGTCAAAGGCTCAGGGGATCAGAGGAAGACGGTTCTGGTAAGGAAGAATGAATGGAAGAGCAATATAAAAGGATGGAACAAGAGTGGGAGAGCAAACTAGGTGAGCTTTCTGCAAAAATGTAGAAGAGGATGGAGGCAGAGAAGAAGAAATGGGAGCCACAAGCCGAAGCTGCAGAAGCCAGGATACAAGCCCTAGAATATGAGATAAATTGGCTGAAGTGAGTCATGGGGCTATTGCCCAGAGGAGACATACCATCTGAAGCAGGTACACCCCTTACTGAATAAGCAGCCCAACAGAAAGGAGACATGACTTAAGCGAAGGCTCTATCAGTCCAAGCAAGGTTCAGGAATGAAGGGGGAGAGATGTTGGGAGCAGGGATAGCAGTAAGGGAGAGGGGAGAAGGTGGAGAGGGGGATAGGCTCCATGCAGAGGCACGACCATGCCACCAAGTGATACAGGAAAAAATAAGGGAGACAATGGCCATGTACATACAGGACCCAGAGAGACGGAGAGAACGGCAATGGGAGGAGGAGAGGGAGAAGTCAGTGTTTATTCATGGGCTTCAGGAGAGCGAGGGGAGGACACACAATGAAATACAGCAGGAAGAAAAACAGGAGATTGAAAACATTATCAGAGAAATAGGTGAGAAGGACATAACTGAGATAGTAAGTTTTCAGAGAACTGGGGGTACTTAAAGGGCAGAAATCGGCCAGTCAGACTGATTTTCAAGACAGAAATGGCGTGGAACAGGATCCTGCAAGAGAAACCATGGCTGAAGGAATCGTCATACAAGAGGGTGTTCCTAGACCGAGACAGAACAAGAACAAAACAACAGCAGCTGAGGGAGACGACACAGAAATGAAAGGGGTTAGGAAGATAAACAAGGACAGAGTCAGCCGAGGACAACCGGAGCAAGGGCAGAGCAATAAGCACAAGCACACACAACCACCCCCAGAACCCCACAACCAAACATGCTATCCCAACACAAACCCACCCCACACTATGCTGTAGAATCCCATGGCACACTGCCAGGTCCTCCACCCTCACTGACCCCTCAGAACACAGTGTTGGAGAGGAAACTGAAGGTATGGTATGCTGATGTAATAGCAAATAAGTGGGAGGAGTGGCATGAAAGAGTCAAAGAAGCATCACTGGACATCATAGCTCTCACGGAAAGCAAGCTCATGGGAACGATAAACAGATGCCATCTTTCTAATGGGATATCAGATCCTGAGGAAAGACAGAGGGAGTAGGGGAGTGGCAGTGCTCATCAAAAATCAATGGGATTTTGATAAACTGGAGAGAGGAGAAGCAAGAGACTGCATAATAGGAACACTTCAGCCTGGAGGTCCCAAGGTGGTAATTGAAGTGATGTGTAACCCACCACAGAACAGCAGGAGGCCAAGGCAAGAGTATGATGAGAGTAAAAGAGCGATGGCTGACACACTAGCTGAAGTGGCCAGAAGGGCTCATGCGAGCAGGGTAAAGCTGCTGATTATGGGTGACTTCAATCACAAGGAAATCGACTGGGAGACCCGGGAGCCACATGCTGGCCCAGAAATGTGGAGGGCTAAGATGATGGAGATGGTACTGGAAAACCTCATGTGTCAACACATAAGGGACACTACCAGAGAGAGAGGAACCAGCAAGACTGGTCCTAGTATTCACCTTGAGTAGTGCAGATGTTGAGGACATCACATATGAGAGAACCCTTGGGGCCAGTGATCATGTAGTTCTGAGCTTCGAATACCTAGTAGAGTTACAAGTGGAGAAGGAAGCAGGAAGGGGAGGATGAATGAAACCAAACTACAAGAGAGGGGATTACACAGGCATGAATTTCCTGCACGGGGTTCAGTGGGACAGAGAACTTGCAGGGAAGTCAGCACATGAGATGATGGAATATGTGAAAACAATATGCAAGGAAACTGAGGAGAGATTTGTACCCAAGGGTTGCTGTATAGTCCTTGTGGCTTAGCGCTTCTTTTTTTATTATAATAATAATGTACCCAAGGGTAACAGAAAAACGACAAAGCCAGGATGAGCCCTTGGTTCACCCAAAGGTGTAGAGAGGTCAAAACGAAGTATGCTAGAGAATGGAAGAAGTATTGAAGGCAAAAGACCCAAGAGAATAAGGAAAGTGGTCACAGAGCCGCTGCAGTGGATCAGGGAATACCTGTCAGGAAGACAACAGCGAGTCATGGTACGAGGCGAGGTGTAAATGTGGGCGCCTGTGACGAGCGGTGCTGTTTCTGGTATTTGTGAACGACATGACAGAAGGAATAGACTCAGAAGTGTCCCTGTTTGCAGATGACGTGAAGTTGATGAAAAGAATTCAATCGGACGAGGACCAGGCAGAACTGCAAAGCGATCTGGACAGGCTGCAGGCCAGGTCCAGCAACTGGCTCCTGGAGTTCAACCCCACCAAGTGCAAAGCCATGAAGATTGGGGAAGGGCAAAGAAGACCGCAGACGGAGTACTGTCTAGAGGGCCAGAGACTACAAACCTCATTCAAGGAAAAGGATCTTGGGGTGAGTATGACACCAGGCACGTCTCCTGAGGCGCACATCAATCAAATAACTGCTGTAGCTAACGAGCGCCTAGCAAACCTAAGAACAGTATTCCGGCATCTCAGTAAGGAATTGTTCAGGACCCTGTACATCGCGTACGTTAGGCCCATATTGGAGTATGTAGCACCAGTTTGGAACCCACACCTAGTCAAGCACGTAAGGAAGCTAGAGAAAGTGCAAAGGTTTGCAACAAGACTAGTCTTGGAGCTAACGGGCATGTTCTACGAGAAGTTAAGGGAAATCGATTTGATGACACTGGAGGGCAGGAGAGATAGGGGGATATGATAACGACATAAAATACTTAGAGGAATCGACAAGGTGGACAGAGACAGAATGTTTCAGAGATGGGACACAGCAACAAAGGGTCACAGCTGGAAGTTGAAGACTCAGATGAATCACAGGCATGTTAGGAATTATTTCTTCAGTAACAGTTGTCAGGAAATGGAATAGTCCGAGAAGTGATGTAGTGGAGGCAGGATCAATACATAGCTTTAAGAAGAGGTATGATAAAGCTCATGGAGCAAGAAGAGTGACCTGGTAGCGGCCAGTGAAGAGGCGGGGCTAGAAGCTGTGAATCGACCCCTGCAACTATAACTAGGTGATTACACACTCACACATTCTTACCCCACATCACTCTTGCAACCTTCATCACCTTAACCCCTTAACCCCGCATAACTCCAAATCTTCAAATACCACTTTCCTTCCACCTCACCCCCAAAATCCCACCCTGATGATTACCAGCTCCAATCTGCCGCACTGATTTACAAACACACTCATTTCCCTATTCTTCCCTGAGTCGTCCTACCTCAGTTGAAACACTAGTCGCCTTCATTGACCCCCTAATTGAGTCTCAATAAAACTCCTCCCAGTTCAGCTTTACACATTTTCCTTTCTCGTCCCCATCTACTTTAGGCCTTTCCATACATGCAATAGCTCCTCCTCTATTTTTACTTCACAATTTCTTCCTTGTTAAGATCAAACTTTCATCCTTGCCCTTCCATTCTCAGTAGAAACACTCACTACTAGGAACCTCCATAACAAGAAAAAGTGAAACAAATAAAAAAATGTAGATAATTTTAAAGATCAGAATTTGGTACATATATGCAGACTGTGTCATCATCAAAAGTAATGAGCTAAAAGATAACTTAGGAACAACCAGACTAGTTTCAGAGCCACGGGACACTTTCTAAGAGATTAAAGGAACTAAACCTGAAAACTCGGGAATAGAGGAAGGCTTGGGGAAAATGTGATTATTATGAACAAAATATTTAGGGGCTTGATGGGACGGATAGAAGCAAACAGTTTTATTGGCTTGAAAAAGAATGTGTTGCACAGATAGAAAGTAAGAAACAGATGCGTCACATGATGTGCTTTTTCAGTCTCAGGGCAAAACAGAAATGGAATTAACTTTATATGTAAAGGTCGGAGGTAAATTCACTACATAATTTTAAGAGTACGTATGACATGGTTCAAGAGGCTAGACGATTTGCTATAATATTCGTCAAGAAAGAGGACAAGTGTCTCCTTACATGGGTCTCAATCATATTGAAGACTTTAATTTTAGAATGTTGGACGAGAAAGTTTAAGAGGCGGGGCCATGAACCAAGACTATACATCTGAAAGCACAGGCAATGAGTACAAACACAGACAAAACCAAATCATTATAGTGGCATATGTGAGACTCGAATTCCATCAAGAACCTGATCAAATAGTTATTTAGGAAACTATACACATTGTAAGTCAGGCAAATCAGAGACTATGAAGCACCAGCATGTATGTAGCGTAGAAAGACTGAACTAGTCTAAAAAAATCTTCGATGATTTATAAGAGGGCCGAGAGGACGTACTAGCAAGGAACACAAGAGAAATTCACTGTACGATTGCTACGTACAAGATACTATTGACAGGGGAGGGATGGCAACACATTGCTTGAAACATGAGCTCCACTCACACGGGACGAATGTATTAGAGAGAAATCAGAAAATAAAAGTGGTAGTGGTGGATTCCGTAAGTAGCTCAGGTATGAGTGTCCTAAAGGAGTAATAATGTGCAGCACTGTCCCGGTGAGTGCCGTCATCCTGGTGAATTTATTTGTTATGAACGAGGAACTACAAAATACGTAGGCGGTGATATAACGTCTGATGCTGATGAAGGGCTTTTGATCCAAAAAACATGAGCTACCCTCCTCTGCCTCTGATCAGATCTGATTGCCTCCTGTTTTCCAAGCGTTGTGTGCCCCTTACGGGTTTAGAGTTTCCCATGCATATAAATGTAATATATATATATATATATATATATATATATATATATATATATATATATATATATATATATATATATATATATATATATATATATATATATATATATATGTCGTGCCGAATAGGCAGAACTTGCGATCTTGGCTTAAATAGCCAATATAGGACAAGTGAAAATTTGTGTATTCAATAATTTCGCCAAAATCATTCTGAACCTAACGAAAAAAATATATTTCACTGTGTGTGTTTAGTATTAAATTATTGTAAACAAATCTAAAATATATTTAGTTGGGTTAGGCTGAAATAAATTGTTCTTATTATAATAAGGTTAGGTAAGTTTTCTAAGATTCTTTTGGTGCAAAATTATAATTTTTACATCAACATTCATGAAAAAAATATATCTTTAAACGTATAAGATAAAATTTTAGAAAGGACTTAATTTTAAATAAGTTCTTGCTAATTGACCAGTTTTACATATTCGGCACGACATATATATATATATATATATATATAATATATATATATATATATATATATATATATATATATATATATATATATATTATATATATATATTTAAATTCAGAAATATACACGAAAACTCAAAAAGTGATAAACAGATGATAAGGCAGGAAATAAGGAAACAAAACTTCTTGTCAGGAAGATGAAGCCCTTAGCTTATTTTTGGTGTTAGGTGACCAGAACAAACAAGTGAGCGGAGACCATGTCCAGGGTTACAACTCAGCAACCATACTGTACATCGACACCATGCCCAGACCTTCCTGGGCAGGGTAGGTGCCTGAGCAAGAGCTTGTAGCTCACAAGACTGTCATTCCCATTAGCCCCCTTGGGACGAGGATGGCAGACCAGAGAGGCCTAGCTTGTGGCTAGGCCTGGGGACAGTTGGTCCCAAAGATGAGGAGGTACTTGTGTCTTTTCCCATGGGAGACTTAGGTCTCAGACACTCCCTAAAGAGGGAGCCAAGGCCGGGCCACCACTTGGAAAAGGCCCGGGCCGGGAGAATACCGGCGAATCTTTAATAACAAAAAATAACTATACTGTACAGCTATCATTTTTCCCTAACTGTCAGTCGATTTATCTACTCTAAACGTTTTTACCTTACTTGCCCTCTCATTCGCTGTATGACCCTATTAGGTTTATATATATATATATATATATATATATATATACATATATATATATATATATATATATATATATATATAATATATATATATATATATATATATATATATATATATATATATATATATATATATATATATATATATATATAATGTATCTTTATTTCTACAAGCACATGTACAAGGTATACAGGCCTAGCTGACATCAATGACAATAACTGCCCTCTTATTTGTCCACTTACCCATTTCTGGGTAAGGTTTAGCGCTTTGTTTTGATTGTAATAATTGTCCTCTCATTTATCCACTTACCCATTTCTGGAAATCGTGCCCATCTATCAGGTCACTTACATGGTTCCGTGGTGTGCTTGCAGGTCACCAGGCAGACGGGATGACCCACGCCCTCCAGCATTACGTGGGCGTGTTGGCCTCTGTACCTTGTCACTTCCAGCTGCAGATGTACCCATTCGACTTCCAACTTTGCAACATATCCTTCATGCTTATGAACGCTCCCTGGACCCGGGTCTTTAAGAAGTCTCAAGAAGGAGACAGGGTTCCTTACTACGACTCGGTGAGTAACTGTTAGCTAGTTTTTAAACTGACTCGGCAAGGAAAAAAGGAAATAAAAAAGTCTTAGAAATGAATGACCCAAAATCTGTAAATATAATACTGATAGCCATATCAAAGTCAACGCAGAAGCCCACGGTAGCATACTCAGTTTGTAGGTTGAAGACGTCACAAAGGATAAGAAGATTTGTAACCTCTGTTCGTATTTGGACAGCTTTTGCAACTTTCTACAAGACATAATTAAGATAAAGGCAAATTTGAGAATTTTCCTCTTCATGGTCACATAGTTAAATGGGCTCTCCACTCCCTCTTCACACATCAGCCTGACCTACAAGAGACACTAAAATGTTTGTGAACAATAGTATTTCCCTTTGAACTCAAACTTGCAATCAGCCACACACACTTATCAACCCAATAGTAATGTTCTTATCAAATGGCATGGGGAACTAATCTAGTACTTCCTTCAGGTAAGATAACATTTCAAGGACATGTACACGGGTAAACAAAGCTGTGACGTCAAAATTTACTAGCGTAAAATCATTAGACATATTAACATTTTGCAATTTACAGTGTCACAACTTTGTTCACCCGTGTACTTTGTTCACCCGTGTACCTGTCCTTGATTTGTTATCTTATCTGGAGGGAAAACTAGACGAGTTCCCCATGCCATTTGATAAGAACAATATTTTCTTCTAGAAATGAAATCCGATATCACAGTGTAACAGTGCATGAAAACAAATATAACAGATTATATTAAAAGTTATTAATTGAATGACTTAGCTGTTTCCTTTCTCCGTTTACAAAACAAGAGCCTACCTTGCCCTGGGAAAGTCTCATCTCATTCTGAAATAATGAAATCATAATTCAGAAACACAAAATTGGACCAGATTTATTATGCTACTATTTACTGATAAAATGCTAATGTATAACGTAAGAAAAAATGAATGACTTTGGAGGTTTGGAAATTATTTTAGTGGTATGTAGTAGAGTGAACGAGAGAGATGTTCAACAGTTGTGGTGTATATGTGGAAAATACTGTATATATTTTCCACAGTATATTTGTCTTACTCATCCACATGTATACCATTTTTATACTGAATGAGCATGCCTGTTTTTACTTACTAGTTTTCTGTTAACTAAGAATCTTTCACCCAGGTCTAGCGCTGCTGAAAAATTATCTAGGTTTTTGTCCTCCAAATAGTCTATGAGGTCAGCAGGGATTGCTTTACAATTCTTCATGAACAAAGAGATCTACTAACTTGTCAAAATCCCAGTTTACCCCTCTGGAACGGTACCATTTCCTAAAGAGAGAGATTCTCTTTCCCAAAAATCAGTTAAGGAGTAACTATCCCAAAATTTTTGACCTCTGAACTTCTGTCTATACATATTTTGTTTATACATATTTCTCGGATATCATTTGGCATGTAAACAGTACTACTTCCTTGACTTTATCATAATCAGAAAACTGGTTCCCCTCCAGTGTATCTACTCTTTGTAATCCTTTACAGCTACGTGTGAACTAGGGTAGGCCACTCTGGGACCGTCCTTGCACCAAAGCAGTTTTCTTAAAAAGTGAAAAAAAAAATCTTTCTCGGTCACTCTCCGTAAACCACTCAGGCGGCTCTTGTTCTGAACCTTCTAACCTGTGAATTTTTCTCTCTCTTGTTGCCTCCTTAGTTTCTATTAAATCCTTTTCAGCCTGTATCAAGGCTAGCTTAAGTTTCATCATCTTCATTCCCTTATCACCTGAAGAAGGTGATCCCTCATGGTCATTGTTAACAGACATGTTTACTGATGGATTATTACCCTCCTCACTGAAGCCTGAACATTTAAAGACTCAGCTTCTAAAATAGTTTTTATATCCTTAAACATCTACTTCCCTCTCACAGTATTAATGGATAAAGTTTTCTACTGCCAAATATAATAACACAAGTTGAATATAAAATATGCACACAGCATTTACCATAAAACCGCAAGCAAAATGTGTTGCCCAACTTCCCACTAGGAGGAAAACAACCTGTAAACTAACATATGAAAACAACTTCCACTGTCACCTTAGTAAATCTCCCACTATAAACATGTAACTGTCACCCCATTCCTGTACATATAGTTCAAAGCATGTCTTGAGTTATCTTAGCAATCAATCAAGCTTCATTGTTACATAGTTTTTCCCTTTTACTTCGGTGTTACTTCACTATATATGAGTATTCTAGGGAAATACTTACGTTTATGAACAGGCCATCTCGGCCTCTGAAACTTAACCTTCTTTCCGGTCACATATATTCAGTGGATAAGTATTTACAGCATATACCTGTGTCAAGTAGTCTGGCCCAGCTTTCACATTCACAAAGAATACATAACCTAGAGTATGAGTTTAGCCATTCCACCACATGGGCACAAGTCACAAGGCCCCATCTGAAAACACTTACTACCTCTTTCCTCTTGGTGGCTGTAATCCATTGTTTTGATACCCTGTAGCCACTCTGGTATTATTGTTTAACATCAACCCTTAATTATAAGTCTTATCTCTTGGGCAACTCATATTTTCCTCATAAGTAGAGTGAATAACTTCAGTCAGCCTGGTCAACACAGCAACAATGAAGGCTGACCTAGCCTCTCCTCTGCTCTTATACCCACAACGACAGAACATCACCATGCACAATTTCTTAACTGCTTTATTAATACTCTATTTTTCTCCCGTAACAATAACTTATTGTAATTTTAAAATACTGTTTTTACAATAAGTTTATTATAATTGTGTTTGTTGATTTACAACTGAACCTGTTTTTACTGAAATACAGGGTTAACATATTTTGCTTCTATCCTTAAGAGTGATCAATTCTTATAACAGAATTAAGGCAGTTCTGCCCCCAATACTTGAATCGACACCATGCCTAACCCTTCTAGGGTAGGGTAGGTGCCTGAGCCCGAGCCTTTAGCTCATAAGACTGTCATTTCCATTAGCCCTCTTGGGGTGGGGATAGCAGACCAGAGAGGCCTAGCTTGTGGCTAGGCCTGGGGACAGTTGGTCCCAAAGATGAGGAGGTACTTGTGCCTCCTCCCATGGGAGACTTAGGTCTCAGACACTCCCTAAAGAGGGAGCCAAGGCCGGGCCACCACTTGGACAAGGCCCGGGCCGGGAGAATACCGGCTAATCTTTACCTAACCTAACCCCAATACTTCATTATAACTAGGTATTACAAACAATAAATCTTTTCTGCTACTTAGGTACATAGATACATATTGGGTCCTATTACCCCGTAACATCAATATAGGGTGAATAGGAAATTAGGCTATAGTTGTGTACTAGTTTAAGCCTCTATACAGTACATACTGTTTAGTAGACATAGTATCACTCCTCCACCATTAATTGTGTTGACTGGTCCGCCCAGGTGTAGTTTTTTTTTTTTTTAATATTATTACTGATAGTGGTATGGGTACTTGTGAGGCAGCGTCGGGTACTGCTGGAGTACGAGCTGGAGGACCAGACGACGGAGGTGGGCTGGTTCCTGCAAGGTACAGACAACAACACTTACTTTGTTCTCACCTTCCACCTGCGTCGCCTCTACGGCTACCACGTTGTCAACAGCTTTTTCCCCAGCCTCCTCATGTTTTTCGTCTCTTTTGCTACTCTCTTCTTTCAGGTGAGTCTGTCTCTTGTGAGGAATGCATACACCGAGAGGTGTATGTCTCTCAGTGTATAATATATACAATTTAATTCCTATTCTAGTAATTGAAAGTGTAACTTGACTGGTGTAGTAAATGAGCTTTAAACCTAATTGACTAGCAACCCAGAAAGACATTAAAATAATAGCTATTATAAAAGAGATATTTAGAGGAGAAACTGAACTAGTGTCCGTCTGTGTTAGTTGGAGGACTTTGAGAACCGCATCATGGTGTCGCTAACAGCACAACTGGTTCTGGCAGCTCTTTTCACCTCTACCACACAGTCCTCTGTCAAGACTCCTTACCTCAAGCTCATCGACGTCTGGTATGCTGCCATCATCACTTTCTGCTTCGTCATCGTCATCATTCAGACTGTGATCAATGTGATTTTCAACAGTGTCAATCTACCATCGCTCGTGGTGAGGGCTGTGGGTGTCGTGCCGCTGGACCATGGCAGTGATAAGGTAATGCTGTTACATCTTTAGTGCCGCATGTAAATCTTCAACATTATAGGAACTGCACAAGTCAATCAACTTAAAGTCAATAAAACAAACAAAAACATAGGTGATAACAATAAAACATTCATAAATGCTTTACCAAAACACTGAGACCCTCTTCAGTTTGCTGAAGAGGACCAGTGCATTTCTTGATCATATCACGAAATGCACAGTACTCGTTTTCCATTTTACCGTTTCCATGTGGATGGGTTTGTGCCATTAATCAGTTTATATTTCACTGTTATGTTTTATTATAAGAGTTCTCCCATAATACTTAACATCTTGCAGATACGAAAGAATGAGTCAGTACAACAGTTGTAAAAACCTTCGAAAACTTTCCTTTTCTAATTAGCAAATTTATATATGTTGTTTTAGCTCATGGCATCAGATGCTTACAAGATCTGTATATAAAGTAAGGGTATGTTTGTGGTCATCAGTCCAAACTAAGGGTAATATTTACTTATGCAAAGGTAGATCCCCTCCCCCTCCCCTGAATCTGCAGATTCAGTTTCCGCGGTTTCAGTTATCCCCAATTTACCTCGACCTGAAAATTTTAAGGAGGTTGCAACTTCAGGTTTCATTTTTTTTATATTTATCGTCCGATTTCATTCATTTTTTTCTGTTTGAATAAGAGTGCATAGAACATGATCATGTAAAGTTTCATTAAGATTGATCAACAAATAAATAAAAAAATTAGCATTGCCAGAGGTCAATAAGTCAGTCAAGCAGTCAGCAAGTCAGTCGAGCAGTCAGTAAGTCAGAAAAGCAGTCGGTCAGTAGGTTAATTAGTCAGTAAGTCAAGCAGTTAGTTCAGCAGCAGCAGCAGCAGCAGCTGGTGGTGGTTGTGGGATGGAAGTGGTGGAGGAATGTATTTTATTATTTAATGTTGGTAATGTCTTATTGTACATAATTTATTAATTAAACTTTATCAAAAGTTTATATGTATAAACGACAAATGACTTGTATATAGGGTTCGCTGCTGTCTGCTGTTTCGGCCATCTGTGGTAGGACTTGGAACTTGATCATCCGCGGATACGGGGGGACTACTATATTATGTAAATTTTCCAATGCATACTAAGTAGATTGTACAATGGAACAGTTTTATTTTGGGCTTAAATTGAAAGTTTTTTGATAACTAAAGAAAGCTAACCCAACCAATTGTAACTTTGATTTTAACTTCTAGACTTAGATTAGGTTTAGTTGGGTTCATGTTCAGTTACTGTAAAATGTGTTTATGTTCGGGGAGAACGCTTTTTGTTTGGGTGAGTTTAAGGGCCACCCAGCTCAGCCATTCCATTACGGCCATGCCGGATCTGTCCTGTGGAACTTTAGGGACCAAATAAATTTCCACACTTAGATTAGGTTTAGTTGAGTTCATGTTCAGTTACTGTAAAATAATAATAATAATTATAATAATATTATCTTTATTTCTACAAGTACATGTACAAGGTATAAAGATGTAGCTGACATCAATAACATACTGGTACCTGGAGATATACGTGGAGAGGGTTTCGGGGTCAGCGCCCCCGCGACCCGGTCTGTGACTAGCCCTCATGGTGGATCAGGGCCTTACCATCTAGGCTGTTACTGTTGGCCGCATGCAACCCGACGTACAAACTGCAGCCCGGTTGGTCAGGTACTGACTTTAGGTGCCTGTCCTGCACCTTCTTTAAGACAGTCAAGAGTCTATTGGTAATCCCCCAGCTGAGTAGGTGTTTTCCCATGACCCCAAGGGCCTTTTTCAACTGCCTCCCACCCATATATAAGGGGGAAATTACCAATAAACCCCGGGCGTCTTCAAGCAGGCACTGGACAAGCACCTAAAGTCGGTACCGACCAGCCGGGCTGTGGCTCGTACGTTGGATTGCTTTGCACCCACCCCCCCCATTTAACAGCCGGGTTTGATCAGGCTCGAACCACCATGGGCCTGGTCACAGCCCGGGGCCCGGGGGGGCCCGTTGCCCCCCAACTCCCCGGGTTTAAACCCGGTGGGGGTTTCCACTGAGCTATTTGGTGTCCCAGCCCAACTTTTGGTGTACTAGCCTCCCGAGGGGTATTAAAAAAATTTAAAAACCCATGCGATAGCCGGGGCACTCAAACCCATGTCTTTTTGGGCCTCCCTAAATTGGTGAGCGAAATTTCACAGGACGCTCAAACCCCCACGGGACCCCCAAAAACCCTCGGATCAGGGGTAAAATCCCTAGCTCGGCTGGGTGGGTGATTCTTTTGGATTGGGGGTCCTGGGGGTTAGGGTCATGGGGTTTTTCCCGTTCACCTTAAGGGGGGCCAAAACGACATGGGTTCAAATTCGGCTACTCGTAGGGGTTTTTTAATTGATATATATATATATATTTTATAAATTTTTTAAAAATAAAAACTGCTCAGAAAAATTTGTAAACCTGTGGTGCCACAAGGCAACCCTCAGTGTCAGGGGGTTGTCTTTTTAATTTTTTAAAAGTTCATTTTTAAAGCCATTAGTTTTTTTTCCTTTTTCCCTGGGGTTAGGGGAAACCGTTCCCCGGGGGAGAAAAACGTAGTTTTTTAATTTTAAGGACATAAAAATTTTAAAGTGGATTCAAACCTTTCAAATTTCCCTTTTTTTTATTTAATTTTTTTATTTATTTATTTATTAAAAATTTTTAGCATAATACAGAGGACAAAAAAAAAAAAAAAAATAAAAAAGGAAGAAACCCCCAAAAGCCACTTAAATTCCCTAGCATTTCGGGCGGGCCTTAAAATTAACAAAGAAATTAAATGAAATCAGTGATAATACTTAAATTGAAAACCCAGAAAAACTTAAACAAAAATTATTATAAAAAAGCGGGTTTTAGGGTTTGAAATGCATTTTTTGAAACATTCAGTCGATGGATTTTTCTTTTAGGTGTGTATTTAAAAAATAATAAAGTTAGTTGGGGTTTTTTGGGTTTTTTAACATTTATTTTATAAATTTGTGAAAAAACTTTTTAAGTATACAATTTTTTGGGTTTCCCTTTTATTCATTTTTATTTGGTTTGGGAGTAAGTGTCTTTGAGAAGAACTTGAATTTAAAAAACAGGAGTGTTTCTTTTTTATTTACAGGAAATTTAAATTCCAGATTTTGGGGCCCTTTTTTATTTTGCATTGAGTTTTTGCTTAGTGGGGAAAAGAACAGAGGAACAAAAAATTGATGGGGCCTTTGTTTTAAAGGTATGGTTCTGTTGGGTGGCAAGGAGAGGTTTGAGGGGGGGGGTTTAATATCAAGTTAAGTGTTCTGTGTATGTAATAGGTGCGGTAATAAAAGGATGTTTTGGGTATGGGGAGTGGTTTAGTGTATTGAAGTATTGGTGGAGTGTGCTGCCTGTAGTGAGAATTTTTTATCAATTTTTAACGCCGCCTTTTTTTGGGTAATTAGTGGCTGAGATGGTTAAATTTTTGTTGGGGCCCCCCTGCCCAAATTCCATAGGGAGATGGGGTAAATAAGAGAGTTATTTTAGGGCCAGGAGGGCTGACGTGGAAACATAGTCCCCTAACTTCAAAAGTATTGGGCCACAGGGCTTGGAAATTTTCTTAGAAAAAAATTTTTTGTAAAATGTTTGAAAATTTTAGTTATTATCAAGGGGATTCCTAAAAAATTTTTCCCCCTGTTAGCTTTGTGATAGGGGGATCCGTTTATATTATGTTAAGAGTACACTGTAGCTCTGTTACCAAACTTTAATGAAGGAGGTTTTTGTCAATGGTTTTTTGTGTAAAATTTTTTTAGGGCCTCATCCAGGTAGTTTTTTTCTTAATTCGGTAATTTTCATTTTTGGCTAGCGTGATGGGCTCGGGTGAGAGAAGAGTAAGAAAAATCGAGGACTGTTTAAATTATGTCATCTGCAAAAAAGTGTGGGTTTGAGTAAATTTCGAAAACATTAGGGAAGGGCATTTAAGTATAGGAGAAAGAAAAAGAGGGCCAAGGACACTTCCCTGGGGCACCCCAAATATAATTTGGTTTTCCCCAGTAGAGTTTTTTCCCCATTTTCGTACACATATTGGCTTTGTTGCTGAGGTAGACTTGGGGTATTGAGGGAGTCCCCCTTTTAAACCCCATAGGGGGACAATTTTACGGGGAGCAATTCGGTCAACTGTATAAAAAGCTTTACTAAGTCAAGAAGACCCCAGGGGACTTTTTTTTTCTCTTTTGGTGTATATATGTTCAGCATGTGTATAATACATCATTAGTATTTTTATTAGCCTGAACCCAAATTGGCAGGGGTTGAGTATGTTTTGGAATAAGGAGGAGTAATTTTTTTATGTTTAATTTTTTTTCGAAGATTTTTGAAGGGGGTTAAGTTGGATATTGGCCTATTTATTCAACTCGTTTGGTCTCCTCCTTTGGGATCGGGGTGACCCTTCTTTTTTGAGACTGTGGGGAAAGGGTGGGTTTCTAGGATTTGTTAAAGGTGTTGCAATGATTGGTGATAGCACTTGTGACAGTTTTTTTTATAAAGGGTGGAAAGGGTATTTAAATCCCTCCCCTTTTTTTTTTAGTGCGTTGATAATAAGGGAATTTCCGTATGGGTTAGTCGGAGCTAGAACAGTGTTTTTTGGGGTATTCCCGGGTGAGGTAGTCATTGGGGGGTATCGACTTGGGTTTTTATTGGCAAGGTTTTGCCTATAGGGGAGAAAATCATTGATCTTTTTGGGGCTTTTTCTGTTGGTGGAGTTGGGCATCTGATTTTGCAAATTTTATTTCCGCATTTCGTGATATCTTTTTTTTTTCCCAAAATTTTCTGATGGGGTTTTTCCCCAGGTCCTTTTTTATTCACCTCGTAAGTTGGATAATCGTTCTTTTAAACAATTTTTTGCCCTTCTTATAGGGGGTTTGGGATTGACGAAACGTTTTTTTTGCTCTGGTTATTCCCCTTTTCTGTACTGTTTTTCATTTTGGGTTTTTTGTATTTATGGTTTTGAAAATGCGGGTTAGCCAGGACTGTTCAGTCTTTTTTGCGTCTCTTTTTTATTTTTTTTAGGGCATGCTTGTTAAGAGGTTTGGGGTTTTTTTAGAAAATTATAATACTTTCTCAATATCTGTATAGTTTTCTGCTGTTGTGAAGTTTTAAATGGCTCCCTCATTGTGAAGTCTAAAGGGTGACTTTAAATAGTGTCCGGGGTAGTTTACCAAGAGTTTTATGGGGAAATGGGTGGGGGTTTTGGGGTTTATCTGAATTTATCTGTTTTTTAAAGGGGGTTTGGGTTGGCCAGATGGGTCAGTGGGGAAACACTAGCTCTGTAACTCTTGTGGGTTTTGTTACTGTTGGTAGAAACAAACAGTTACTCTTGTGTTTGTGAATTCGAAACGTGTGGGCCCGGCTGCAGGAGTTTTATTGAAGTCACCGAAGTATAATGACTTTTTTCATGCGTGCACATTTTACACTTCCTGTTTTGCTAAATTGCAAATTTTTGATTTGGGGAACTCGTGTTTTATCAATGTGAGAGGTTTTTTAGTATTTGGATTTGAATTTAGCTTTTTAAAATTTTCCCCCATGTTCACCCTTGTGAAAGTTTAGTTACTTCTAGTTGGTCGAGTAGTCTGGCTGTGCCACCCCTTTTGGTCTGGCCTACAGTTGGGTAGGCTGGTAACCGGGAATGGCATAGACACTGTACTATCAGGCTTTACCATTTCATTTATGTAATGATGGACATATTGGCACAAGGAATTTTTAGAATGTATGGGGTCTCGAAGCTTGCTTAAAGATCTGATATTGTGTTAAAGATAGTTTATTTGTTTTCACTGAGAATCCTTGTTTGTTTCTGCAGTGTATAATTACAGTAACATTGATTCATTTAAGTCATTAAATAAAGGTTGGAAATCAGACAATGCTTGTAATCAAAGATTTGTAGTAAAATCTATAGTTAGAATTAAATATAAAACAGAGAAAATAGTCTTAAGCAAAAAAAAGCACCTGAATTTTTTAAAAAATGTAAAATAATGAGCAAAGGTATTTTTTTTTTTTTTTTTTTTTAAGCAAAATAAAGGGACAATATAAAAGGGACTAATACAAATAAAGGATTCAAAAAAAGGAGTTTGGGGAATAGAAGTAGGTAGTCAAAAGGGTTTTTTTTTAAAGTTAAATTATATTTAAAAAATTAAATATAAAGGGACTAATATAGGTTGGGGAAAAATAAAGTGGAATAAAATAAGGGAGTTTTGGGAATATAATGGAAAAAATTGTGAATTTATTCTACTTTAGCACCTAGAATAGCACCTTGATTTTTTTAAACAATTGGAATATAAAACTGGGATTATAATAAAGCAAAAATAAAGGAGAAATATAAAAGGGGACTAAAATTAAGTAATGGTAAAAAAATTTAAAGGGACAGATGGTAGGAATTATAATAAAATTTATAAAAAAAAAAACAATTTGAAAGGTATTTGCAATTGCCAGAGCTGGTAAGGTTGTTGCAATAAAGAATAACTAGATTTAAACTGACAAAATAAAATTCACATTAAAGTACCAAAAGAAAAATGAAAAAAAAACAATGGAAGCCCTTGGTTATAAAGAAAAAGATGGTAACAGGTACCCAGGTACACAGGTACAAAGGGTTGGGTGAATATACAAATAAAAATTTGGCAACAAAATTTTAGGGAAGTATAAGATAATTTTTAATTACAAAAGTAAAAATTTACTGGGAGTAAATATGGTTTTAAAAAATTTTAGAAGTAATAATGATTACAAAAAGTGAAAATATGTTTATTTCATTCATATTGCACTGGTAGTTTTACTTTGGGGTTTATGGCAGTACAAGGTAATTAAGATAATCTAGATAGTAAATTTGGGTATTAAAACAGTAAAGGGAATTTGCAATAAAAGGTTTTTAAATGTCAAAAAAGTTAAGAGTAAATTTTAAATTTTGAAAAATGAAAAATTTAATTTTTGTAATAATTCAATTGATATATTTAAAAAATATGAGTAGTAATAGGACAGAGAAAAAACAATTCACTAATGTTTAAGCGAACAAATAAATAAGAAAATCACAAAGGTGACTTATCTTACTAGTAAAAAACACTAAATGAGGTATTTATTATTAATTTAAAGTTTACAATGAAATTTAACAATAAGGAGCAAAAAATACACACAACTAGGCTTTTTGTTGGGGCATTTTTTATTATTCTCTGTAAGAAAAATATCCCTGAAAATCGGATAGATCATTCTCGTTCGTGATTGTTTTGACCACATTTTTTTTTCCCAACAAAAATTTTTTCCTCCCGTGTAAAGCAGGGGGTATTGGTCGTTATTTTCCCGCTTTAAATTTTCCTTTCTCTATACAGGAGGTTCTGACGTTTTTTGGTAAACACCATTATGTATAACCCCTTTCTTTACTTTAATAGATTAAGTCTTTTTTTCCCTTTATGTGAGGGAATCAAGCATAACCACTTTTCCCACCTGGGATCCAGAACCTGGCTTCTTTTTTTTCAACTCGGTACAATAACACTTGTTTGGGCTTATGATTTGCAGAGTAAATTTTTTACTGTTTTTTTGGTTCATATCACTGGGGAAAAAAAATGAAGTTACTATTACTGCTCCCCAAGTTAATCTTGTTTCAGTTTTACTTCTTGAGAGCAAAGATCACTGAACGTTTATCTAAGTTTTTTTTTTCCAGTCTTTACTGCTTTTCAACCTTTGTATTAAGAAATTTTTTTTGTTTGGGGATGGGTATCTATGCGTTTGGGTGGTCTTGTCACAGTTTAGTCATTCCGGGGTTGATAATTTTGTTCAAGACTGAGGATTTTGTTCTCGATTGTGTCATCCCCCGGGGTCTTTTTTTGTTACGCTCTCGAAAAATTCATATTTCAATAGCTAAGTGGGGGCTGTCTTTAGGGGGATCTGGATCGTTGGTCCCCAAACCTAGAGACTCTTGGAGGTTTTTAAACCGGGGAAGAGGGGAGGATGGGGGGGTGGTGGCAGCCATGTTTTTTGTTATTTTTGTGGTGGCGCCTTGAGTGGTGGGGTGGAGTGGTTCTGACCGGGTCCTCCTGGCTACACTGTTGAAAAAGTTGTTTTTTTCCCCGGGTTTTCTGCTGGGCCCTTGTGCTGTTTTCCCCTTAGATGCGCCCAAAACAAAAAATTCTCTGCTGCCTCTCTCTAATAAATTCATTTTTGAAAAAAAAAAAAAAAGGCAAAGAAAATTAGAATGGGGAAAACATTATTTGGGATAAGGGAATTCGTCTTTTCATTTGGGTTTTGAAAACAAACGGGGGGACAGCTGTAGGCTGCCTACCACTCCCCCATTCCCATACCCCCAAAAATTGACCCATTCCATACAAAACCTGGGGGAACAACGCTCGGTATCCACACAAGTATCCGTGGGTTTAATCCCCCCGGATAGAAACGCTGGCTTTTCCTTACCCTGCTGCCCCAATTACCTGGTGGTAAGTAGGGACTGGGGGGTTAGTCGAGTGGTGCGGGGGGCATCCTGGGGATAAGATTGAAGGACCTCAATGGAAATAAGACAGCCCTCGATGATGCACTGACTTTCTTAGGTTATCCTGGGTGGCTAACCCTGTATATTATTAATGAAAATAAGATATCAGATATACTAAGCAAATTTCCTAAATTTGCTTGTAACAAATAAGTGAACTGTAGATATAAACCAATATGTACACTTGCTTACCCTTTTGGGGCCTACTTCCTAGGCCTTTTGTGTATCCATATTCTTTTGCGCTACCGTCCACAGGATGGATATGGGGTGCACAATAAACTAGCCACTTCGGTGGCAAAATCTAATCTAACCCTCCGGGTTAAAAATACGAACAAATCTAATCTTAACCAGTCGTCACCCAAACCCCTACCTCCCTCTACTCCACTCCAACTATCTTTGGTCCATATACAAGGATCAGAAACAGGACACCAAGAATTGGAACACAGTAAGATAGAATAAATCTAAAGTATGGTTTACGATTACAGATGAAATAGCAAATAAATGTGGCGAGCTGTACAAACAAATAGCAAAGGCAGTACCAGGCATCATAGTGCTTACAGAGACAAACTCACGTAGATGACACTAGATGCAATTTTTCCAAAAGGAGTATCAGTTTTTGAGGAAATATGAGCCAACAGGGAGAGGGAGATGATAATTCAGAACCAGGTAATAAAACTGTAGAAGGAGAGCTTGTAACAAATGACCAGGAAGTCTGCGAGAGGCTGAGCACAAGATTTAAGGAGGTACTTTAAGAGAAAATAAATTTCTTGATTAATTCCTTTAATGCTTTCAGGAAAATTTTCGGTGTTTTAATGAGACATTGTAATTCGTAAATTGTATTATTTTCGTAATCGTTATTTCATTACTTTTTAAATTTTATTATTTTTTGAATCCTTTCATTATTTTATATTTTTATCAGTTATTTCATTATTGTTAACTCTTCTCTCACCAGTATTCCAGAGATAATTATCATTATTATTATTCACGGTGTGTAACTGTTGCAGGTGGTGAGGGCGTTCTCGTCAGGTGAGAGGCAGCAGCAGACCCAGGTGTCAGAGGAAGTAGCCAGACGGTATAACACTGCTTCTGGCGTCTTCATCCTGTTAGTGGTCCTCACCTTCGTCGTATTCTACAGCATGATGGCTATGAGGGTCCTGTAGTGAGTGAAGATGAACCAACACACTGCAGGGTTCAGTCTTACAGTTCCTACATACTAGCACTGGGTTTCTATAGTAATGAAGCTTAACAGGTTGCAGGATTCAATCCTTCGGTTCCTACGTACTGGCACTTGAGTTCTGTAGTAAGTGAAGCTGAACCAACACGCTACAGGATTCATTCCTACGGTTTCTACATACTAGCAATGGGGTCCTGTTGTGAGTTGGACCAATACGCTGTAAGATTCAAACCAAATATGCACAAATAACCCGCACATAGAAGAGAGGAGCTTACGACGACGTTTCGGTCCGACTTGGACCATTTACAAAGTCACACCGAAATGTCCTGTAAATCAGAACTCTGAGATTCTTGGTCTTTTGTGATAAGTGCTCATGTAAATTCTGAAGAAAAATGTCGACTGGATAACATGCAGATTATACACAAAAACATAACAGTGGAGGAGCACTGCCGTAGGTCTACTGGCCCATGCTAGGCAATTCTTTCTCAGACTTAACCCCTCTCACCCATAGCATGAGTACAGGTGCCCTGAGGGAAGAGGCTAGAGATAATTGGTTTTCCACAGTAGACGTGTGATGGATGCTGGTCACATTGTCAGACCGATTTTTCACTTGTAGAGGAAGCAAATGTAACGTTGTCATATCCTGCTAACTAACTAGGAGTGTTTGCTCCTAGCACTGTTTGTTCCCAGCAAAAGTGACTGGTTTATATTTAAGTAGAAAGTTTGTTATGTAACTACAACTCCTCACTTACAAAAACACAAAAGTAATTCAGAAGTCACATTGTGAAGGCTTACTCAGCCCTGTAACAACTTCAGACAGTATTACCAAGGCTGGCTCCTCCTCAGAAAAATTAATGTATAGAAAAAGAATAAAAACTGACAAACATAAACACTTTATTATTTAGAAAATATAAAAAACTTAAATATGAAATATTAATCCTACATTAAGGAAAATGAAAAATAAAAAATATAAATGATATCTGAATTCAATGCTAATAGATATAAATAAAACTTGGGTGTCTGGTGTTGGTAACACTGCGTGTTGTTGAAATCGTAGCCGTTGCTGATGATGGCGGGGGGGGGGTCGCAGGTGTTGATGACAACCCACCGCTCATTCTTCACATATTTTCTAGCTGTCCATAATCCTTCCAGATGACAGGAAAGCAGGTTTTCTCCACTGCAATGATGAGGGGTTATATCCTGCTACTTGCATACACAAACAGGTAAGTGGATCAAAATTCGGGATGTCTCCGAACGTTAGTCCGTCTCCTTCAATTCTACTCGTTGATTGGCAGGTGACCCTCTCTGTCATCCAAGAGTAGTGCTGGGAGCTGTGAGTCTAGTGATTACTTTTTGGACCGGAGCCCCACACGTCACCTTTCGGGGGGGGGGGGGAAGAAGGAGGGGAAGGGATAGCGAGAGCTAGACTGACCCTACCTTAACAAGCAGCCGGCAGTCAAACTATCACTTTCGGGGTGGGGGAAAAAAGGCGGGAATAGCGGGAGCTTGACTTACCCTACCTTAACAAGTAGCCGGCAATGAAACTATTGTTACTATATACTCCCTCGATATTCCTATCTATTGAACTTTTCCCTCACACACATTATTATTATTTTGGTCTTGATGGAAGCGCTAAACTCCTATGGGGTCATACCAGGGCCTGGAGAATGATAGGTATCATGTTAATCTAAGTAACGAGAGAGTAGCTTCAGATTCCTGGACTAAGAGCCCTTCATTATCACCTGTACTAAGAGCCCTTCATTATCACCTGTACTAAAAGCCCTTCATTATCACCTGTACTCTTAAAGGGTACAGAGTCACACAATGTCTTATCAGACATCATTTGGTAAATAATTATGTTACTGGATATTATAGACTCATTTCACAGAAGACATTCTTCACGTAGTTTTATAAAGACAATTGCAGTGTAATGCGATCCTTGACTGACAGAGTTTCGCTCACACAGTAGACTTTATAATCACTAACAAACCTGTCTGTGACTTGATAAAATAAACTGTGCGGGCGAAGCCTTGTTAATAAAGGATTGCATTACACTGCATTTGTCTTTATGCATCGTGTTGTTATTTTATATTACACATTCCTCTCCATCTTCACGTAGCTGTTGATTCATCTCATTAATGTAAGCTACCTATAATCTCAAGGTATCAGATGCTATATTATTAATAATAAAGTAATTAATATTTATTGCGGCGTTTGTCTGGACCTAATTCTGGAGTTTCTCAAGTTTGTTAATTTAAGATCAACTAAGATTTTTAGGTGATAATGGCACATCTTTCCTCCGTAAGCCATGCGTGTTGTAAAAGTCAACTAAAATGCCGGGAACAATGGGCTAGTAATCCCTTTTCCTGTAATAATTACTAAAAAGAATAAGAAGTGGGAAGTCTGAATGTGCGTGGATGTTGTGCAAATGATAAGAAAGATGATTGTGGATGTTATGAATGAGAAGAAGCTGGATGTCCTGGCTTTAAGTGAAACAAAGCTGAAGGGGGTGAGAGAGTTTCAGTGGAGAGGAATAAATGGGATTAGGTCAGGGGTTTCAAATAGAGTTAGAGCTAAAGAAGGAGTATCAATAATGTTGAAGGATAAGTTATGGCAGGAAAAGAGGACTACAAATGTATTAATTCAAGGATTATGTGGAGTAAAATGAAGGTTGGATGTGAAAAGTGGGTTATAGTAAGCGTATATGCACCTGGAGAAGAGAGAAGTGTAGAGGAGAGAGAGATTTTGGGAAATGTTGAATGCGTGGGGAGTTTTGAACCAAGTGTGAGAGTAATGGTGGTTGGGGATTTCAATGCTAAGGTGGGCAAAAATGTTGTGGAGGGAGTAGTAGGTAAATTTGGGGTGCCAGGGGTAAATGAAAATGGGGAGCCTTTAATTGAGCTATGTGTAGAAAGTGGTTTGGTAATAAATATACAAGGTATGATGTAGCACGTAATGAAAGTAGAATGTTAGATTATGTATTGGTGGATAAAAGGTTGATGGGTAGGCTCCAGGATGTACATGTTTATAGAGGGGCAACTGATATATCGGATCATTATTTAGTTGTAGCTACAGTTAGAGTAAGAGGTAGATGGGAAAAGAGGAAAATGGCAACAACAAGCAAGAGGGAGGTGAAAGTATATAAACTAAGGGAGGAGGAAGTTCGGGTGAGATATAAGCAACTATTGGCAGAAAGGTGGGCTGGTGCAAGTATGAGTAGTGGGGGGGAGGGGATGAAGAGGGTTGGAATAGTTTTAAAAATGCAGTATTAGAATGTGGGGCAGAAGTTTGTGGTTATAGGAGAGTGGGTGCAGGAGGAATGAAGAGTGATTGGTGGAATGATGAAGTAAATGGTGTGATAAAAGAGAAAAAGTTAGCTTATGAGAGGTTTTTACAAAGCAGAAGTGTTATAAGAAGAGTAGAGTACATGGAGAGTAAAAGAAAGGTGAAGAGAGTGCAAAAGGAGAGCAGATGATAGAGTGGGAGAGGCACTGCCAAGAAATTTTAATGAAAATAAGAAAAATTTTTGGAGTTAAACAAGTTAAGAAAGCCTAGAGAACGAATGGATTTGTCAGTTAAAAACAGAGTAGGGGAGTTAGTAGATGGGGAGATGGAGGTTTTGGGTATATGGCGAGAATATTTTGAAGAACTTTTAAATGTTGACAAAGAAAGGGAAGCGGTAATTTCATGCACTGGCCAGGGAGGTATACCATCTTTTAGGAGCGAGTGTGGGGGAGGTGCGCGAGGCATTACGTAGAATGAAAGGGGATAAAGCAGCTGGAACTGACGGGATCATGACAAATGTTAAAAGCAGGGGGGGATATAGTGTTGGAGTGGTTGGTATTTTTATTTAATAAATGTATGAAAGAGGGGAAGGTACCTCGGGATTGGCAGAAAGCATGTATAGTCCCTCTATATAAAGGGAAGGGGGACAAAAGAGATTGTAAAAATTATAGAGGAATAAGTTTACTGAGTATACCAGGAAAAGTGTATGGTAGAGTTATAACTGAAAGAATTAGAGGTAAGACAGAATGTAGAATTGCGGATGAGCAAGGAGGTTTCAAAGTGGGTAGGGGATGTGTAGATCAAGTGTTTACATTGAGGCATATATGTGAACAGTATTTAGATAAAGGTAGGGAAGTTCATATTGCATTTATGAATTTAGAAAAGGCATATGATAGAGTGGATAGGGGAGCAATGTGGCAGATGTTGCAAGTATATGGAATAGATGGTAAGTTACTAAATGCTGTAAAGAGTTTTTATGAGGATAGTGAGGCTCAGGTTAGGGTGTGTAGAGGAGAGGGAGGCTACTTCCCGGTAAAAGTAGGTCTTAGACAGGGATGTGTAATGTCATCATGGTTGTTTAATATATTTATAGATGGGGTTGTAAAAGAAGTAAATGCTAGGGTGTTCGGGAGAGGGGTGGGATTAAATTATGGGGAATCAAATACAAAATGGGAATTGGCACAGTTGCTTTTTGCTGATGATACTGTGCTTATGGGAGATTCTCAAGAAAAATTGCAAAGGTTAGTGGATGAGTTTGGGAGTGTGTAAAGGTAGAAAGTTGAAAGTGAACATAGAAAAGAGTAAGGTGATGAGGGTATCAAATGATTTAGATAAAGAAAATTTGGATATCAAATTGGGGAGGAGGAGTATGCAAGAAGTGAATGTTTTCAGATACTTGGGGGTTGACGTGTCGGCGGATGGATTTGTGAAGGATGAGGTTAATCATAGAATTGATGAGGGAAAAAAAAGGTGAGTGGTGCATTGAGGTATATGTAGAGACAAAAAAGTTATCTATGGAGGCAAAGAAGGGAATGTATGAAAGTATAGTAGTACCAACACTCTTATATGGGTGTGAAGCTTGGGTGGTAAATGCAGCAGCGAGGAGACGGTTGGAGGCAGTGGAGATGTTCTGTCTAAGGGCAATGTGTGGTGTAAATATTATGCAGAAAATTCCATCACTGTATCAATCAACATGTTCGGGCCATACTTTTAACACACAAACATATTCTGTTGAAATAACACTTCATTATTGGGTTATTGGATTTGCGATCAATGTGTGGAGTAATCACGGCTGCCAGGGATGGTCTAAACTCATTTTATGAAATGAATTTTAGGCACAAATAATGGTGATGACAAGCGAGGCACCAGCGGCCCTGTCAATTCTTCCTGATTCCGGGCTGTCTATAATCTGCCAAATGCCGACGTCCCGGCCACTGCCTTTGGTGTATACCTTGGAGAGGGT